AACATGCGTTTTGGTTCCATGTTTATCACCGCGGTTTGTGTTTTGTTTCTTCTAAAGCTACGATGGCCAAGGAAAAAGAGTTAAAACATAAGACATAAGAAAGTTGTAAATCAAGTGTTTGCGAACGAAACACCAATGTGATTTATTTACAAGCATACCACGGCTTTCTGTTTTACAAATTGTTTTACCGATCCGTTCTGTCTGTCTTTTGATCTCTGTAGCTTCTGGTTAACATTGTCTTTGGTCGTTTTAACAGTAAGCTTAAAATGTTTGTTAAAACGTTTGTATAATGGTTCCAAGACTTTCTAAACGGATACAGGATAGGCTTCCCCTTAAATGAATTTAAGCGTTTTAAGCGGAGGCTTGGATTTTTAACGGATTGCTTTTGCCGTTTTAACGGATGCTTAGATTTCTCTAACGGATCTCTTTTGCTGTGTTAACGGCTGCTTGGATGTTCTTAATGGATACCTCTTTCTGTTTTAATGGATCCAAAAAATTTATGAATGGTGGCAAAAGCCATTCGAATGGTTTGATCGTAACATTAAATGCTTTGCCTAAAGCTTGAAACGGTTTTCATGAAACGTTTAAACGGATTACAAACGGATAAGGTGTACTGTATGTTTTCCTGTGTAAGGTCACAAATGGTCAAAAATCTGTTAATCAGAGTGGAAACTTCATCAAATTATGCCTTCTTCCCACTTAAACTTAGATCTTTAAACGAGCAATCAAGATTGTCAAAATCGTCTTCTGGTTCAGCCATAACCACTGAACTGCAAATCTAACCAGCCAACTGCACAAAATATGGCAGAGGCCCCTCTTCTCTCTTTCCCCTTCCTGGCATTCCCCACACGCTTCCATTTTTCCCTCTCTCCAGCCACTGAACTACCAGCCTATGGCCAAGAAGCCTTTATGGTCAAAGCAGCACGAGAGGCCTCTGTGAAGGAGAGAGCTTCAATTTTATGGGAAGGGGGGAAGGAGCCTTACATTCCACAAGGTCATGAAAGTTAGGATGCTTAGAAAGCAGTTGACTACCAAGGTGTTCCAAGAAATTATTAATACTCTGGAGTATATTCATGACAAAGGATATGTTCATAATGACTTAAAAGTGAACACTGTGACTTTAGACTGGTGGGATGACAAATTTCATCCCATTCTTATTGACTTTGGAAAGAGCAAGGAAATTTTGAGAGTGAAGGGATACAAGAGGCACGTTTCAGACTTCATGGCACCTGAAGTAATACTTGGTGGAAAAAAAGGCCTCTCCAGAGACATCTACTTATTTGGAAAAATGCTCGAGGCAGCGGTTTCCGGTAGAAGTTTTAGCGCTTTGTTTAAAGAAATGATTTCGGAAACGACAGCATTGGCTGCCTCGGACACGCCTTCCCCTAGAAAGGTTTCTCTACTCCTTGCAGAGGTATAAACCCGTTTTAAGAGTCAACTTAGTCAATAAGGTACTATTCTATTCCAGTTAGCCTAAAGAGTACTTTGTTTAGCCAAAATAGTACTTTGGTTAGTCTAGCATGAATAGTGCTACGGTTTACCTCAATAGCACTCCAGTTAACTTAAGGTTACCATAAACCTTCGCGGGTGTCCTTAGTGAAAAAAATATTACCGCGCTGTCTTAAAGACAAC